AGTTTAAGATATAATATTACCAAAAATATATTTAGAACTAGCAACTCACCCTCGCTTCGGTGTAGTTTCACCGCTAGACAAAAAACCGTAGATTTTTGAGGGATAAAAATGTGTTATGTGCTATATTAATGCTTATGTGCTATTCCAGACTATAATCTATATCTGTGCCATATTTTATCCAGATTCAAAGAGTAACAAACATCCATCCTCACAAACTTTCACATTTATAATATTAGTATGGATGTGTGTATATGTATATTGTATATACATACATCATATATATATAAATATATATATATATATATATATATATATATATATATATATATATATATATATATACTATATTAATCAAAATCAATTTTCATTATTTTTTTGGGGATAAAAAGGTATACCCGTAAGCGTTATTTCTCATAAATATCACAAAAATCCAGTATTAAGTCTGACTATTTCAAAGTAATTATGTTTTAACAGGCATTCCATTAAATTATCTTATTAACAATATGCTTAAACTGTATATAAATTAGTATAAAAGCTGATATTTTAGCTCAAATTGTTGGTAAAATAATAAATTCCTTCACATTATGTGGTAAATACAAGCATAAGGAACAAGTACTTCGGCTTTCTACACCGCAGTTAAATTCATGATGGGTTGAGCTCGGCTAACTCCCATAATATGGGGCTTCAAAGAAAATATTACGCTATACTAAGTATTATACGAGATATTATCTAATACTAATATTATAAAGACGAAAGATTTGTTTTATGTTTGCTTGTTTGTTTGTATTGAATAGCCTCCGAAACTACTGGACCGATTTATATGAAATTTGGTAAGAAGATAGTTTGAGACCCTGTGAAGGACATAGGATAGTTTTTATTCCGGAAATTAAATTATTTATACATATGAAAGTACATATATACGGTACTTACAAGAAAAAAAAACAGGATATTTTTTTGTCTGTATGTCTCTTTGTTCCGGCTTATATACAAAAGGGCTGGACTGATTTTGACGGGACTTTCACTGACAGATAGCTGATACTATAAGGAGTAACTTAGGCTACTTTTATTTTAGAAAAAGAATTAGGGTTTCGCGCATAAAAATAAAACTCATGAAATTGTAAACATAACACTCGTACCTAGGGAGGCAACCGAAACGAAGCGAGAGCAAGTCGCTAGTATAATATAATAAAAATAGACGTAACTATAAATGAACAATATGTTATCGTAACTCGGTCAGTCACAAAATTGCTTCAAACAAAATATAGCGTACGTGCTTGTGATTCTAATCGTATGAAACAATTCATATTAATACCATCGTATTATTATGAACATTTATTTGCAAGAATTTGTTGTTTAGCAAGTGAATTTTATTACCAACAAATATCATTATTTATTAACCGACTTCCAAAAAGGAGGTTCTCAATTCGTCGGATTTTTTTATGTATGTTCACCGATTATTCGAAGACGCCTGATCCGATTTGGAATTTTCTTTTGTTTCAAAGAGTATTTTTCATAATAAAGACTCAAATTTATTTATTCCCGAAAAAACATCGCACAAACTAAAATGAGTCATAAAAGCATGAAATCTGGAGTTTTAATACCGAAAGTGACAATAAAGAAAAGGTGTATAAAATGTATAACTAAAAGGTTTAGATAGAAGATAATTCATTGTAGAAGTTCGTCTTTTTTAAGGTTAGAAATCATCAAATAAAGTTGATATTTAGTCTGCTATTTGATTTTTAGTAAAAGTTAGTCGATTATTATCTATACATATGTATAATAATTATATAAGTATAATATATATTATAATAAAATCCTAATAAATCCTATAAGTAGAGTCTATACATTAAATATTTTTTTTGGAAAATCTTATTGAAATAATCATTATTATCGATACAGAGGCCGAATCTGTAGTTTTAAGAATTTTTGTCTTTCTGTTTGTTTGCCTGTCTGTCTGTCTGTCTATCTGTCTGTCTGTTACCGCTTCACGGGAAAACCACTGGATAGATTTTGATGAAATTTGGTATGATGATAGCTGGTTGTCCGGGTCAACATATGGGATACTTTTTACTGCCGGAAAATATCTCATCTCTGAGAAATCTATATTAAACGTTAAAACGTAGCTTATAATATTAGTAAGGTTTAAATATCTCATATGAAATTCACTACTAAAGTTGTTTGCAAAATGCTACGTTTAGTTAAATATAGACGGGAAAATCGTCTGAGTCAGCAGTCTGAGTATTTAATATGCACCCTTAAAATTACCGAGAACGATGACGGCGTGGAAAGAATGAATCTCCAAACAAAATAACATCGGGGAAGCCTTGAGCAACAACCAAAGAGGAACAATAATTAAAAGTTGAAAAAAATATTATAAATATTTATACAATGATTAAAATTCCAAACGAATATTATTATTCGGTGTAAAAGTTGTGATGAAATTTTATAATTTTTCGTAATTGTTAAAATTTTTGGTAATTATATAAGTTTGAAATGTTCATGGGTTTAATTCTTGATTTTCATATTTAATTTTATTTGAACGTTATAGTAATTTAAAAAAAAACGTGTGTGTGTACTTACATATGTACGCACGTAAGAAGTTATACTTCTTTGGCGTAACAGAACAAAAATTGCTAGAGATTTCATTCCGTATGTCACAACTCTCTGTTTGTAAAAGGAATGCAGCTAACTTCATCATGTCGCTTTTTGGCTGTCAGTGTGAGCGTTAGCATTAATCGTAAAAATTTACTTTATTACTTTCATATTTTTTTCCTAACGTGCAAAAATAAATACAACTTCAAAAAGAAAATGACTTATTAGCGGTTATATAATATTCATTCAAAATCTGTAAACCACACACTACTTATCATGAACTAATCTTACTCCATAACATGGGTTTTCACCATTAAAATAAATGTTGCCACTCCAAAACTTTAAATAACATTCGCTCTCATTAAAAAATCTTATAAATAAAAGGTCTAGGTACCTTCGAAACAGCGTCAAAGAATCTCGTTGAAGAAACAAAGCATGCCCCAATCAGATTTAAAAGCGCCAGCAGTCAATAAAGAGAAGGCAAATAACAATTCTTATTGTCATTCTGCGCTCTACCCACTTTATGTAAACGTTGGTTTACATGACCGCTCGGTTTTTATTGAAACTTTGAGATAAAGAATATATTATCGGACTACTATTATAAATGCAAAGTTTGTATGTGATTATGTATGTTTGTCACTTTGAATGAAATTAAGTGCACAAATACATGGTCTGCAGTAACATATAGGGATATACATGTCTAAGCCAAGCAAAGTGGTTAATCGATGAGCACTATAGTTCATTCTGATCTTAAAATATATATAAAAATATACAGAGAAAATATTGAAATATCATATAATTTTTACTTTAAAAAAGAGGAAGTGCTTAATTCGGTTGTATTTTTATGTATTGCAATATCTTCCATTTATTATTTTTTTATAAGGAGTAGGTAAAATTTTATATGATGATCCTTTTTTAGTTAAAAAGTTATTTAGTTTAGAACTGAAAAATATATTACATTATACTTTACAAAAATTATTATGGTTATGCACATTTTATTTTTAGATGTACATGTAAACCTACGCTAAATTCTAAAAAGTCATTTCTCAGAGAAAATTCAGAGTGTCGATTAAATTCATAAGTGATTGGGCGCTAAAGTCAGAATTTACAGACGAAAATACCTTTGCTATGAAATCAAATAGAAGGATAATAAATAAGTAAGCTTTATTATATTTAAAAATATAGTTTCGTTTGTTTGTTTATAGGTTTACTTCTCTTTAAATTATTAATATACATTGTTATAATACGTTTATATTCTAAAATCATTATTACAATACTTTTACGAGTATATTCTAAACTAGCATTGCTCGCGGCTCCGCCGGCGTTCAGATGGCCGAAAACCAAATTCTTAGGTTTTACATATTAGTATACTCTTATATTGCAGTTTTTGTATTTTTTCTCAGAAATGAGACATTTTTCCGCGGTAAAAAGTATCCTATATGTTGACCCGGATGACCAGCTATCAGCATACATATTTCAACAAAATCCCTCCAGTGGTTTTTCTGTGATGTTACACACACACACATGTGTGTATCGATAATAATGTCTATTTCAATAAGATTTTCCAAAAAATATTTAATGTACAGATTCAGCTTAGTTACAATTTTATTATTTGAATTTATTTGAATACATTAGCAATTTTTATAATTGGTTTTATAACTAAAATCTCAAGACACTAAAAGATAATATTAACTAATTAAAGCTTATTATAAAAAAAAACACAACATGTTCTCTAAACAATATCCTACATAATATTATTACGTAGACTCATCAAAATCTTTATTAAATTTAAAAAACTTCATCATCTTAATTATTCATATTTTACATACTTATTACGCATTGTTCGCAAAATTATGAAACTTGCGTGTTGAAAGTCTGGTGTAACTTGTATTACATTACAAAATGTTATAAATTAAAGTCCCCTGCGCTGAATTTGTGTTTGTATAGTTTAGTTTCAGACACTACTATACAGATTTTCTAATGGTTACCACCAATAGAAAGTAAATAATAAATAAATATGTTGGCACATTAATACACAGCGCCATCTAGTTCCATGGTAAGCTACGAGACTTGTGTTATGGATACCAGATAGTTGATACACTACACATAAATAACTTTAAATACATATTATAAATATAAACACCCATGACTGGAGTACAAACATTAGTACTCATCACATAAATGAATGCCTCTGCGGGACTCGAACCCGTGACCGCTGGCACAGCAAGTAGGGTCACTACAAACTGAGCGATACGTGTCAACTATCTATAACTTATGATCATTTTACGAAAATAAACTACCAGTATATATATTTGTGATTTCAATGGTAAAAATTGTCTCTTCTAATAATTTTTTAAATGCTTAAATGGAAGGGAATCACGAAAAACAATATTTATAATTTCTTTCAGCCATGTCGCGGCAACGTATCCCTGTTAGAAGAAGATATCTGGCGGGAGCAACAATGTAGTGCACATGACAATACACCCTACGGTGGAGAGCTGTTCCACTGGAGGGCCCATAGAGACGACGACGAACCGTGCGCGTTGACTTGCAGAGGCACTCCACAACACTCTGGTCAAAGCCCTGAACCTGTAAGTAATAATTTATATTATATTAAATACTTATGTCTTGAATTAGCCATAAATTCTTTATATATTAAATAAAAAATATTGGGTTATAAATAAATTTTCATGCAGCGGTAGTCGGCAAGTGATTTCAAACTACGGATCACGTCTGATATTTTCGTGTGTGTATTATTTTATATTTTTTTATGTTTAACATATTTATTACATCGTGAGGGAAACGGCATATGTAAAATAATCTACTAATTTTCAAAAAAGACATGTGAAGTCCATTGACCATGAGAAAAAAATATTAAAAATCGGTTCACAATTAAAGTCCCTCCTTTTTGAAGTCGATCAAATACTTTCCTAAAGAATTCATGAAGTAGTACCTATAATATTTTTAAAAAATATCATTTTTAAAACAACCTTTCTTTGAGATTTAAATTTTATATTATTTTTTATCAAGCATTTATCTATACATATAATAAAATTGTACAATGTTATATAAATGTGTAATAAATTGATGGTTTCAATATAACTTAAAGTTTATTTTCTTCTTTTAAAACTATTTAAATAAAAGCTTCTCTTTAAATATATTTCTATATTATTAATTTATTTTTTATTGCATTCGTATTCTTCTCAGCACACCCTTTCATTTGATATCCATATCATGAGGGTGCATAAAAAAAACTTAGGCCGCTATCGTTTGGGATTCGCCATATTGGATTTAGAATGACATCACTTAGCTAACCAAGCATTGTCTTCCAAACTAAATGTATATGCAAAATATTAGCTCAATCGCTTGAGTATAAATGTTATAAAATACACTCGCAAGATTAGACCTGAACAAACAAACATTGCAATTTAAATAAAAGCTTGTAAAAAACCAAAAACAATGAAGGCAAAGCTCTAAGTTGATTCAGTTATAACTAATTAGGTAAATTCCTGCGAGCTTCGTAATGAATGTTTTTGTTAGAATTTCTATCAAGCAAAAGTCAACTGTGGTGTTTATTTACTATAACTATTGCAACAGCAGTAAAATTATTTGAAATTCTTCTTTATTTGTCTTTGTAATACGAACATTTAGATCATTATTTCTCAATATAGAATGAAAAATTGTTATAAGCAAGCAAGACATCGACTTGCAGCATATTTCAGGTTTGATTTCCGGTAAATGCGGTGAATTATATTTTAATTCGATTTGATAAGATTTTGATTAAATGATAGATTTAGAAACTGCAATTTACCTACTGCTAAATTTATTTATAACTAGCGACTCACCTCGCTTCGCTCGGGTTCGTCCCTAGGTTGATAGCCTATAAAAATTTTAATCCCCATTTTCATCCCCTTAAGGGATGATTTCCAGGATAAAAAGTATCCTTTGTCCTTTCCAGGGTCTCAAACTATCTTCTTACCAAATTTTATCTACATCGGTTTAGTAGATGCAGAGATTACCCCCTACAACGTCACAAACTTTACCTCTTTATAATATTAGTATAGATTGTACAATATAATATGATTAAAGATTAGATTAAATACATGTTCTTTTTTCGTAACGTTTTTATTATCCCATTAACATTGTAAATGAGAAATATTGGATGGACGTATGCTTGTTACTCATCACGCCAGAACGGCTGAACGGATCTGAATGAAATTTGGCACAAAAATAGATTATAATCTGGAATAGCACATAGGTTACTTTATATCCCGAAAAAGTGAACGGTTCCCGTGGAATAGGTTTATTTTTGTTTTTCACAGAGCAAGGCATCGACTATCTATTCCATACTTACCGTTAAAACCTACCTAACTAACGGGACAAACCCGAGCGAAGCGAGGGTGAATCGTTAGTATTAAGGCTTATTTAATACCAAGATAAATAAGACTGTTAAAGTGAAAAAATCTTAACGATATAATGAAATTAGCCAAAAATCGAACCCACATACCACAATCGCGGCCATATAAATCAATTCAACGACTGACAAACCAACAAAAATATACAATTGTATACTTTAGCTATCAACTAATATTTCATATAACCATACAGTATCTACAGTAGAGAATTTCACTAGCGAATTCACATTCGGATAACATTTCAACGCTTTTAGGCGACGTGATCAGATATTCCTTGAGAAGGCAAAGGGTTTGAGATAGCTCTCATAGATACTACATACTTTAAAACTTTGAACGATAATTGAACCTGCTACCTATTCAAAGTTAAACTCAAAATATTTCATAACCTATTTAAAATAGATGAGGTACTAAATTCTAATGAAAGATTTTTTGTTGAAAGTAATAATATTTGAACTTTTTTGTTCGTATATTATACAATATACGATATGAAAGCATTCCTATTTAATTTCCAAATTAAATTCTGCCACTAATAATAACTTTTAAAGTGACTTTGGAGTCAATATTCTTTTATGTTTACACCAGTAAGTAAAATTTATGAATAATTTGCTTATCTATACATATAATAAAATTGTAACTAAGTCGAATCTGTACATTAAATATTTTTTTGAAAATCTTATTGAAATAGTCATTATTATCGATACAGAGGCCGGAATCTATACTTTTTAGAATTTTTGTCTGTCTGTCTCTCTGTCTGTCTGTCTGTTACCGCATCACAGAAAAACCACTGGAGGGATTTTAATGTTTGGTATGATGATAGCTGGTTATTCGGGTCAACATATAGGATACTTTTTACCTCGGGAAAATGTCTCATTTCTGAGAAAAAATACAAAAACTGCAATGTAAGAGTATACTAATATGTGAAACCTAAGAATTTGGTTTTTGGTCATCAAAACGCGGGCGGAGCCGCGGGCAATGCTAGTTAGTTTATATTTTGCCGATTTAAAAAAAAGAGAAAGAGTCAACGTGGGTGGAAATATACTTTTTTATGTTACGCGGCATATTCGTCAATTGTAAACTAATTTTCGTGATTCTTTTTTAATAATTACCTAGATTATAGTCTGATTTATAAAAAAAATATTAAAATATTAAAAAAAGAATTACCATCTCATACAAGAGGAATTTAATTATATTGAAGCCAGTAGTATACTGTTTTTTGTCGGTGGTTAGCTGTTTAGTTTATAAGAAAATATTCATATGAAAACTGCCTATTTGTAAGCTTAACGTAACCGTAGAATTTTATTATACATACGATTACGTAAACGTCACTTGAGAAAATATATTTTTACATTTTTAATGAAATCTTGTCTTGCAACTTTAATAATGTGTATTTTTTCAGACTGCATCATTAGATGATGAAGATCGAGTGGTAGTAGCTGTTCTAGCAGCGAGAGTATCTGATGGTACCCGATGTAGGCCAGGCAGCTTGGATATGTGCATTGATGGCAGATGTCAGGTCAGTACTACATATGTATATACGTATTATTTAGACATATAGTAAATTTCTGAGTTGAATCTGTAAATTTAATATTTTTTGTGAAACAGTCATGATTATCGATACAGAAGCCGAATCTATAGTTTTTAGAATGTTTGTCCGTCTGTATGTATGTCTGTCTGGGAACGCATAACGACAAACCACTAGATAGATTTTTATAAGGTATGATATGATAGTTGGTTATTGGGGTCAACATATACATTTTACTGCAGGAAAATATCTCATCTTTGAGATATCTATACTAACCGTTAAAACGCATAGAGACCAACCCTAGCGGAGCGAGAGTGAGTCGCTAGTGTACATATATATATATAATAAAATTTAGGAGCAGACAAGATTTTAGATTCCACCAACATTGAAAAATAGACATTTTAAAAATAGTATTGAAATAACAAAATTAATAGTTATGTCACAGAATCATAATATGTTTAAATTCTCCCAGGATTTTTTTAAACTTTCTTTCGAGATTGAAATTTCAACCTGAATTCAGAACTTTAGCTAAAGCCGCCAGACTTAACAAACAACCAAAGTGTACTTTCGCATTAATGATCAAAAGAATGTTGGTCTACTCTTTTATTATAGATATTAGATACCACATATACAGATATTGTTAACATGTCATACAATAGTTTATATATGCGAGATTGAACGAATCTTATTTTAAACCATCTTTTGGCTAGTTTTGGACAAAAAAATCTAACTTCAAACTAGACGTTAAGCCTACCAGTTTCCCGCGAGTCTGGTACGAAAGCATTTCTTCGGAATGGCTTCTTACTGCGCAATATATAACAATTGCATATATCCAAAAAATGTGTTTTTGAGGATTACTCGTGGATAAGACGTGATACACTTAAGTTACACTTTAGTTTTGTATATAATCCAATAAAAGCTCGTTTTTGTCGGAACTTATAAAGTATAGACAAACCTCTCCAAAAAATTTTATTAAAAAAAAATATACTTATGACAAGTAAAAAAATTTTAATCACGTATGTGGAATATGATAATATAGGCTGAAATACGCCAGACAAATTTACCGGTTCTTAAACATCTATAATCATTATACCAGAAAAAGCTTATAAGTATTCTTAATGCGTAAATGCCATAATGCGTGAACTTAGATAAGCAAATGAAGAAGAAGAATGGGAAGCTTATCGAGGTATGCCAGCAGCTGATGGGGGCCAAAGCTCCTCGCGCTGTTTTGGTTATCGAGAAACAGCGCGTTTTTAGTATGGTTCGGGTTCAGCGTTCTGGACAAATACTTTATTTCTGAGCAAACCAAAACAGCGCGAGTGGCTATGTGGTTCAGCTGCTGCAACATACAATCGATAAGTCACATTCTTCTTCTTCATTTGCTTATCTTTCTCGCACCTATGGCTACGCATAAGACTTTTTAAAGAACGCAACTTCGGCGTATCTTTCAGCCTATATTATCATATTCCACATGTTTATTTATTTTTTTACTTTTTGTTAGTTTTTTTTTAAATTTTCATCGAGCTCTTGTCTAAATTCCTATACAAAGTTCATCAGTACATTTCATCACACGAGCCCCAACTCAACTACAACATATAGCAAAGTGTAACTTAAGTGTATCACGTCTTATCCACTTGAGTAACCGACGAAAAACACGTATTCTGGGGTTCTTTTATTGGATTATATAAGAAGTCATTAAGAAATGCTTCGTAAACTTGTCGAAAAAACGAGATGCCAACCTAGTTTGAAGTTAGATTTTGGTTTTGTCCAAAAAATATAAGGATGGTTTAAAATAAGATTACTTTATTCAATCTTTATTATCGCAAATAGAAAACTATAAATGTATGAAAATTACACAATATTTTTACACTATATTTCAATAGCCATAAAGAACCTTCCCAATATTATCGCCACTTAAATGCGGCATATATAAATATTGTCTTAGTTTGTTACCTTTGACTAAGCTGAACCGATTCATAATTTCGTATAAAAGTTTAAGATCCTGGGAGTATAAAAAAACATTCTTTTCCCGATCATTAATAGGGATGAAAGGGGGGTACACTTATAGGAATCAATCATTTCTCAAGTATATATATATATATATATATATATATATATATATATATATATATATATATATATTATTTTACTTTTTTTAATTACCTACTTTTCTATATCTATGCGTGAACATATGTACACATATATAATAAAGTCTATTCCATACTAACTATTAAAACGTACATAGGGATGAATCGACAAATCCGAGGGAAGCGAGGTTGAGTCGCTAGTATTTTATAGTTTTCTATTTTTAGTCAGGAAATTTACAATTATTAAAAAAGAACTAAGATTAAAAAAAATGTTTCTCTTTATATTAATGTCGAATCAATCTAATTAAAAAAAATACGTATAAAAAATTATGTATTATATTATAGTAGTCTTGGAATTTTTTTTGAGTTTAGTGTTAAAAACATGTACGTAGGAAAATTTACTTGGTTAAATATTTATTAGCTCTTTAAAAATTATATTTATATTTTGTTTTCCTACTGCTTTTTTTTAACAAGCTTTAAAATCGGAAAAGTTTGAATGATTTCGAGACAAAAGTGCTGCGCTCCTCTACTAATAACAAAGTGGTATACTCATACTATCTACAAATCCAGTGGTTTCTTATTATCTTGTTATTTCTATCTAAATATAGAATTTTATATATAAGAATAGATACCTAATGTATTCTAAGTGAAAACCCCCGTTTAGTTATTTTTTTACATTTTAGTGCCTGGAAGTCCATTTTTTTTAAGTTTATATTTTTCCATTTTTATTATAGACGTAATAAGCAGGTAATTTGTAAGAAGAAAGTTTTTTAATAACATATTCGATTAAACAATTTATTTAAAAAAATATATTGTTGATTTTTCAAAAAACCGATTTCGATAAAATTTATATGGGTGGGACCATACCTGAGAACCCTTTAATACAAAAAAAAATTGCGAATCGGTTCAGGCATCTTCGAGTAATCGGTGAACATACATAAAAAAAAGATTCCGACGAATTGAGAACCTTCTCCTTTTTGGAAGTCTAGAAGAAAGAAGTAGGTATATAATATATACTTAATTAGTTTTCTCACCCAATTTCTTACTTTAACAGAGCTGCAATTTTTACATCATTTAAGTACTTGTTTCAAAACCTCAACATAAATACAAAAAAATTTTGAATTATCATCTATACATATAATAAAATTGTAACTAAGCCGAATCTGTACATTAAATATTTTTTGGAAAATCTTATTGAAATATACATTATTATCGATACAGAGGCCGAATCTATAGTTTTTAGAATTTTTGCCTGTCTGTCTGTAACCGCATCACAGAAAAACCACTGGAGGGGTATTGATGATTTTTTTTGGTATGATCATAGTTGGTTATCCGGGTCAACATATTATAGGATACTTTTTACCGCGGAAAAAAACTCATTTCTGAGAAAAAATACAAAAACTGCAATGTAAGTATACTAATATGTAAAACCTAAGAATTTGGTTTTTGGTCATCTGAACGCGGCCGAAGCCGCGGGCAATGCTAGTCTAATATATGCATATTCGTTTAAAATGATAACAACATATTATGAGAATTTACGTAGAATTCGATAAAATATTCACGTCCCATATCGAGTAAGTTATGTGAAGCGCTAAGGAGCCATGTTTATTTGTTCATATCTCGGCAAACATGGCTCGTAAAGAGGGGTAATTTTACCACGAGGGCGTGCGTTTGGAATTTTTTTAAGGAAAACGGCAAAACTCTCGAGACCTTCCTGTTAATAGGAGTGTAAATAAAAGGCGATTGTTTGGTATATTTTTCGAGAAAAAGCCGCTTTTTCCGAACAACTATTTGTAAATAAACCGAATTTGTACGTGTATATATAGCTTATTGATTTTTACGCCGTGTATGGGAGATTGATGGTTAAACTGGCCTGGAGTTTGCAAGATATATTACTTTTTACTTAATGTTATAGAAAAAGCTAGCTAAGGACATTTTTAGGGTTCTATGCCCGAATGGTGCTAACGGAACCCTATTACTAAGCCTCCGCTGTCCGTCAGTCCATCTATCCGTATGTTAGAGGGCTGTATCTCATGAACCGTAACAGGTAGAGAGTTGAAATTTTCACAGTGTGTATTTCTACTGCCGCTAAATAATAAATAATAAAAAAAACAAGATGGCAAATTTTAAAAAGGTTGCCATGCAAATTAAAAAACAATCGATTATGGTACGGAACCCTTCGTGTGCTAGTCCGACTCGCACTTGGCCGATTATGTTCATTATTAGGACCAACCTGAATCATTATTTATAAACAGTGTAATAATATGCCTAACAACTTACACTCCACCCTAGGGAGCGTTTCTAGGTACCTAGAAGCGTAAGTGTTATTCCAGGTCATAATTTATTTTTGTACTAAACTTCATCCAAATCCGTCCAGCTGTTTCAGTTTGAAGCAGAAACAAACATACACATATACAAATTTTTGCGCTTTATAGTAGTAGTCCAATCATAATCTAGTACTATCTCTTAGTATTGAATTGCATTCATCAATACGCCAAGGTCGCAGATTCAATTCTTACCTAAAGTCATTTTTTATATTACACCGATGTTTTTATCGGTCTGGTTCAAATAAATTTCAGCGAAGGGAATTACTATCCAATTGACAATAATCCTATACTAAATAAAAGAAACGTAGTAATTTTCTTTTTATATCCTGTATCAGTGACTCGCGGTCTTGTCCCAAGGTATTACGGACCACACACAATATTGTTACTGGAATTTTATATATTTTATATATATACATATATATATATATATATATATATATATATATATATATATATATATATATATATATGGGTCTAAACCCCAAACTCTTAAAATCGTGGGTTTCCGTTTTATCTATCTCTTATATTAAACAGATTTTAATAGAGAGCTTTTTATATATTCTGCAGTTTACTGTGG